GCTGATAATTTGNCAGAGATTGATGAGGAGCCCGGAATGGTGATGCCCACCACTCGAGGGTCATTCCGTACTTTAATTAGGAATGGCTCCAAAGCTAACACATATAGAAGAGGAGAGAGACTGCAGCCTTGTCTTACAGATCTTGTGACTGGAAATGGATTGGAGATATGCTGATTCACAATGACAGACGAATAAATATTACTATATAAAATTTTAATCCATTTTCTGAAATTACTACCAAAATGAAAATGTTCTAAACATGAAAAAAGAAACTCATGCGAAACGCGATCAAAGGCTTTCTCCTGGTCCAGACAGACGAAAGCACAAGGTAAATTTCTCTCCTGAACATAGTCCACCACAGATCTCAACAGGTGACCATTGTCCAAGATTGATCTGCCTGGAACAGAACAAGTCTGATCCAGGCCAATGATGTCCTCCAAAACACTACCAAGACGGGTAGCTAAAACTTTGGACAAAATCTTATAATATATGTTCAGGAGAGAGATAGGTCGCCAATTCTTGACGCTCTCGGGATGTTATAAATTTTTGCAAATAAGAGTAATGTAAGACAGGCTTTGAGACGGAGATAATGAATTGGATTTAAAAATTAGTTTGTAAAGATGAAAAAGAACATCACCGAGAACGTCAAAATTGGCGAGATAAAACTCTTTGGTCAATCCGTCTGGACCAGGAGACTTGTCACTTTTCATTGCAGAAAGGGCAGAAAGAATTTCACTCTTGGAGATCTCCCCCTCTAGTGAATCCCTAACAGAGTCACCAAGGGAGGGCAGAGCTTCCAAGAAGTGAGCCGCATCAGAAAAATTGAATGCTATCTTTTTTAAACAGGGAAGAGTAAAATAAAACAAAAGACTGCATGATCGTGCTGTTAGTGGTGCAGTGGTGATCACCATCTTCAGTACGGGTAATAGCCTTCCTGGCAGCACGATCATCTCAAAAAATATCTGGAGGGGTTTTCCAGCGCTTCCATCGACCGTCACAAGCACCGTCAATCTCCGCGTCCTCCAAACAACGAATCTGTTGTTTAACCTCGGACAGACGCGAAGAGAGACTCCCTGGAGTAGCAAGCTCGTGCTCGGTTAAGATCTGTACTCGACCCTAAGGACAGCTAGCTCTTTGTCTTTAGTTGATTTATTTTTACGTTGAAATTCAACACAAAATTGCTTAGTCTGAAATTTAGTGATAGCTTTCATAAACTGTAATGGTCTTTTAGGACCGAACAAAATCCATTATTTAAATAATTTATTACTTTGAACGTTTTGATATCGTTTTTCTTCAAGAAACACATGTTTCCGATATCAAAATCGCAAAATATTTTGAAAAGATACTTACATTTTACAAATGTTTTTGGTCCTTTGGATCTAATCGAAGTTGTGGTTCGGGAAAGGAAAGATTTCGCATCTTCTTTGAGTCATCATCTCGTTTCATCTAGGCACATAGTCCTTGGTGAAGATTTTAACTTTATCCATGATAATGTTTTAGACAAGGTTGGTGGTAACCAATCTGTAACATCGTCTAGCGTGTCTGACTTTGATAACATTTTAACACCTTTTAGTTTCAAAGATATTTTCAGACACTTACACCCATCTAAAT